TCTTGTTTCCTCTGCAGCTCTTTGTTACTTCTCTAATTCAGATATTGATAATCTATCCACTGCATTATTTTTTAAATTAACTTTTTGGCCTTTAATACTTTTCACACTAATTTCTGGACAATATTTGTGAAAGATAAACAAAATTTTAATGTACTATTAATATATATAAAAATAATTGTGTTTTTAATGAATTTGCCAGTTTTATCACCAATATTATTAGTATTGATTCACTCATGAAATCTTTATTATTGTTATTATTATCATCACTTTTATTATTACTAGTTGAATAGAATTTCTCTTTATGTCTTTTTTCCTTTCTGCTAATGCAAAATTGTCTTTATTTTTCTATTTTTTCAATCATTTTTTTAATTTGTTCTTTTTAGGTATATATGAGAGTAGAGCAATTTTGACATAATATACATAAATGGAAATGACTTATTCTGATTAGGATCACATTCTTGTGGTTTTACATGATATGGAATTTTACTGGTAGTGTATTCATATAAGAACATAGGAAAGTTGTGTCAGATTCATTCTACTGTCTTTCTTTTTTAAATTTTTTTATTGGTTGTTCAAAACATTACAAAACTTGTGACATATCATCTTTCATACATTTGGTTCAAGTGGGTTATGAACTCCCTTTTTTACCCCAAATACAAATTGCAGAATCACATTGATTACACATCCACGTTTTTACATACTGCCATATTAGTGACTGTTGTATTCTGCTGCCTTTCCTATCCTCTTCTATCCCCCCTTCCCTCCCCTCCCATCTTCCCTCTCTACACCATCTGCTGTTATTCGATTCTCTCCCTTGTTTTTTTTCCCCTTTCCCCTCACAACCTCTTATATGTAATTTTATATGTAATTTCGTGTAACAATGAGGGTCTCCTTCCATTTCCAAGTCTTTCTTATTCCTATTCTGTTCCCTTTCTTTCATTCCCCTTTGTCTACTCCATTGAAATTCTATTTTCCCTTCCCCATTCTTGTTGTGTGTTAGCATCCACATATCAGAGAGAACATTCAACCCTGAGTTTTTTCGGATTGGCTTATTTCACATAGCATGATTTTCTCCAACTCTACCCATTTACCGGCAAATGCCATAATTTTATTCTCTTTTAATGCTGAGTAATATTCCATTGGGTATATGTACCACATTTTCTTTATCCATTCATGTGTTGAAGGGCATCTAGGTTGGTTCCATAGCTATTGTGAATTGAGCTGCTATAAACATTGATATAGCTCCATCACTGTACTATGATGATTTTAAGTCCTTTGGGTGTATACTTAGGAGTGGGAAAACTGAGTCAGAAGGTGGTTTCATTCCAAGTTTCTTGAGGAATCTTCATATTGTTTTCCAGAGTGGTTGCACCAATTTGCAGTTCCATCAGCAATATATGAGTGTACCTTTTCTCCCACATCCTCACCAACATATATTGTTACTTGTATTCTTGATAATTACCATTCTGACTGGAGTAACATGGAATCTCATGGTAGTTTTAATTTGCATTTCTCTAATTGCTAGGGATGTTGAACATTTTTTCATACATTTGTTGACCATTTGTGTTTCTTTTGTGAAGTGCCTGTTCAGTTCTTTTGCTCATTTATCATTTTTGGTTTTTGTTTTTAGTATTAAGTTCTTTGAGTTATTTGTATACCTTGAGATTGATGCTGTATCTGAGATGCGGAGGCAAGATTTTCTCCCATTCTGCAGAATCTCTCTTCACATTCTGGAGTGTTTCCTTTACTGTGAAGAAGCTTTTTAGTTTGATACAATCCCATTTATTGATTCTTGATTTTACTTCTTGGGCTTTATGAGTTTTGTTGAAGAAGTCAGTTCCTAAGCCAACATGTTGACGAGTTGGCTCAACACTTTCTTCTAATTAGGCAAGGGTCTCTGGTCTAATGCCTAGGTCCTATCTACTTTGAGTTGAGTTTTGTTCAGGGTGAGAGATAAGGGTTCAATTTCATTAGTCTACTTGTCTGTTTTGGTACCGATTCATGCTGTTTTTGTTAATATAGCTTGGTAGCATAATTTAAGGTCTGGTATTGTGATGCCTCCTGCTTCACTTTTCTTGCTAAAAGTTGCTCTGGCTATCCAGAGCCTCTTATTTTTCCAAATGAATTTCATGACTATTTTTCTATTTCTATGAACAATGTCATTGGAATTTTAATAGGAATTGCATTAAATTCACATAATGCTTTTGGTAAGATAGCCACTTTGATGATATTAATTCTGCTTATCTAAGAACATRGGAGATCTTTCTTTTTCTTTTTTTTTTTAGATCTTTCCATCTTCTAAGGTCTTCTTCAATTCCTTTTATTGGTGTTCTGTAGTTTTAATTGTAGAGGTTTTTCACCTTTTCTTGTGAGATTGATTCTCAAGCTTTATTTATTTATGTTTTTGAGGCTATTGTGAATGGGTAGTTTTCCTAATTTCTCTGTCGCTGATTCATCATTGATGTATAGAATGAACACAGCCCTCTCTTCACTGGATCTTTCTTCCAAACAAAAACTAAATAAATAAGCTATAAAACTAAAAAAAATACAAATAATAATTTAGAGTTAACAATCATATATAGAATACATCATCCATCAATGACTGAATAGCACATGGATCATTTTCTAAAATAGATCATATCTTAGGCTACAAAGCAACTCTTGCAAGTACAAAAAAATAGAGATAATATCTTGCATTCTATAAGATCATAATAAAGTGAAATTAGAAAAATAAATATAAAATTAAAAATAGAAACTACTCTAACACCTGGAGACTAAATAATATGCTATTGAATGGCCAATGAAGAGCAGAAGAAATCAGGGGAGAAATAAAAAAAATCTTTGATGTAAATGAACACAGCAACACATGAGAATCACTTGGACACTACAAAGGCAGTTTTAAGAGGAAAATTCATTGCCTGAGCTTGTTAAGAAATAGAAAATCAACAAATAAATAAACAAACATTACTCTCAAAACCCTAGAAAAAGAAGACCAAATCAACAGCAAAAGCAGTTGAAGACTGAACTAATTAAAATCAGAGCCCAAAATCAATGAAATTGAAACAAAAAGTTTTTTTCAGAAAATTGAAGAGATGAAAAGTTGGTTCTTTGAAAAAATAAATTGATAAAAAGTTAGCCAAGATAACAAAAGGCGGTGGTGGGGGGCTCAAATTACTAAAATTCTTGTGCTGAAAACGAAAATACCACCATGGGCACTCCTGAAATATAGACAATAATCATAGACTATTTGAAAATTTATAATAAAAAAAATCAAAAATCTTAAAGACATTGAGAAATTTGGGGAGACATATTAACTACCCAAATTGAATGAGGAGGACTTAGAAAATTTAAACAGGTCACTTTTAAAAAGCAAGAAAATTGAAGATGCCATAAAAAGCCTATGAACAAAGAAAAGCCCAGGACTAGACAGATTCTCAGTTGAGTTTTACCAGAATTTCAAAAAAAAAAAAAAAAGAATTAACACCAATACTCTGCAAATTATTCCATGAAATAGAAAAGGAGGGAACCCTTCCAAACTCATTCTATGAAGCTAGTATCACCCTAATACCAAAAGTAGATAAAGGACACATCTAGGAAAGGAAACTTCAGACCAATATTCCTGATGAACATAGATGCAAACATTCTTTTTTTTTTTAAGATGAAAACTGGTCTTAGACTTTATTCATGAATAACTCATCAAGTATTTATTGAATGTCTACTACACTCTCAGCTCTAGAAAGAATCTGACATGAGCAAGCCCTGCCTCTAGGGAGTTTGTCATTCAAAATACAGCACGCCAAGAAATGATTCTGAATCACTAAAAACTTTCATTTTATCTTTCATGATGTACATAGATACTGATATCCTCTGTGAGGTCAAGTATAATCTTTTATTATATTCTCTGAATTGTCATAAGAGTATTTTGAAATCTATATGCTGGCAAGGCCCCTTTGTCTAAGTAGCCTACTTAAGACTAAGTCAAGTATTTTGTTTTCACTTTCAGTTTTCTCCAACATACCCTCTGCAGCTCTGTCCAACCAGCTGCCTCTTTCTGTGACACTTTACTTTCCTCTTCACTGGGCACTTGTTGCTTTCCTCTTTGCAAAAGCCTTGTCAACCAGTCTTTTTCATCTTCCTTTATTTGGTTTCTTATCCATTTGGTTGAAAAATATTAGCACTTCTTTTAAGTCAGGTCTTCAATAAGTATAATTAATTGGAATTTTCAGTTGGTGTCTTTAAACTTTGTTGTAATCTTCATATTTTCTCTGTAAAAACACTCTCTTCCTCAAAGTTATTTAGAAATATTATCCTCCAAAGGACAATGGTTTCTGGAAGATTTATATCTCAAATGTTGTACTACACAAGACTGATAAAGGAATGCATAACTCAGTAAAGGACGTTTGTACTGCATTGTCACTTCCCACTACTACATGTACTGGATTCTACCAAGATGACTGTTAAAGACTCATTTGTTGTGGGATGTGACTTCATATTCATAAAGGTTAGATCAAAAGTAAGATTTTTGGTTCTCTGGTACTAAATTAAATGTAATTTATATGACACATGAAGACTAAAACTTACAAAACTAAATGATAAAGACAAGATACTTAACCATCATTGATATGTCTGTCATCATCATCACAAACTACACACTTAAAAATCAAACTACTTAGGAGTCTGTAAGTCAGAGGCTGTCTAGCAAACTGCCTTCTATGACTCATTTCCTTTTACATTTTTAACTCAAATACAAATATGTAAGATTCAGTAAATTTTAATTTTCCAAAAGTTCTCAGAAAGAATTATCAGAATCATCCTCCAGGTAAAAAACACAGTTGGATAATCCACTTTTCACAAATGAACTCCATACTTGTGTTGTGAGGTAGCAATGAATAACTCTAAGACCTTCTGTGGTGGCAATTCCCGCTACTTACAAGCATTCTCTCTGCACATGAAGATGACGAACAAAGGGACCAGAAGAGTCCACTTTTCATTGTTTCACTGACTTCTCGTGTTTTCGTAGTATGCTAAATGCCTGATTTCAAATTTACAACAACAAAAAATACCAATATTTATTCTGAAAAGTAATTGTATGTTCCAACTAGCAGATATTAACAAGTTCCAACATGATCTCTAGGAATAATTCGAAGTTCTGAACCGTGCTTTAGAAAAACATTTCCAGGGCTGGGGTTGTGGCTCAGTGGTAGTGCGCTTGCTTAGCATGTGTGAGGCACTGGGTTCGATTCTCAGCACCACATATAAATAAATGAATAAAATAAAGATTCATCAACATCTAAAACATATTTAAAAGAAAAAGAAAAAGAAAAACATTTCCAGCAGTCTGTGCAGGATTTATTCCTATTCCATCATTAGTAATAATTGCACTGTTGCTGCAGGAACTTTAAATTCTTCTGCTGCAAATTTTAAGACTGCTGTAAAAGGTGTACTCTCAGGAACACTAACTACTTTATAAGGCAACCATGGGTCTGACGTCAGCGTAATCTTAAGGGAAACCTTCCACATGGTGGAGTAAGTCTGGGCGAACACACCACGCCAATTTGGCAGAGTAGCTCCAAGCCCTCACCAGTCATGCAAATATTCTTAATAAAATACTGGGAAATCACAAAATAATATTAAAAAGATGGTGCACAAGTGTGTTTAATCCCAAGGATGCAATATTAGTTCAACATACGGAAATCAATAAATGTAATTCACCACATCAATAGACTTAAAGACAAGAATCACATGATTATATTAATAGATGCAGAAAAATCATTTGACAAAATACAGCATTCACTCCTGTTCAGAACACTAGAAAAAGTAAGGATGGTAGGAACATACCTCAACTTTGTAAAAGCTGTATATGCTAAACCCAAGACCAATATTATTATACATGTAGAAAAATTGAAATCTTTTCCTCTAAACACAGGAACAAGAGAGGGATGGTTTTTTTCACCATTTCTATCCAACATAGTCCATGAAACACTACCCAGAGCAATTTGGCAAAAGAAAGAAAATAAAGAGATACGAGTAGGAAAAGAAGAACTGAAGCTATCCTTATTTGCCCACAACATGATTCTATATTTAGAAGACCAAAAAACTCCATCAGAAAACTTCTTAAACTCATAAATAAATTCAGCAATGCAGCTGGATATAAAATTAACAACCATAAATCAATTCTGTTCCTATACATCTGATGAAGCAGCTGAAACAGAAATTAGGAAAAGTATCCCATTCACAATAGCTTCAAAAAAATTTTTTTAAAAAGATAACTTTGGAGTCAATGAGTCATGTTTTTTTGAGGGGGTGACAGTGAGGGAAGATTAAAAAGTTTTGCTAGTGAGCTTTTCATTTTATTAAACTTTTACAGAATCAATTTTTGCCTATACTAATTTTCTCTCATATCTTTCATGATACATAGTATAGTTACAGTGTCTAACGGTTCTGTTCGCTATAAATTATTGGCTAATAATTATTCCTTACTTATGGAATGACCTGATTTATCGATGGAAGTTCTGTTTTCATGAGTACTTAAGTCAGTGAAAATTAACAGGAGTGACCCTGGTTTCCTAGCTGTGTCTATGTGTGTGGTATGTGTGTGTGTTTCATTGTCTTCTTCTGTTCTTCTTTCTATTGTCTCCTCTTCTGCCCCAGACATATTATTTGTTTTCTAAAGAAATTTCAAATACTTATTTTTAAAATAAGCTTTGTATTTTAGTATAAACTTAGAGGAAAAAGTGCAAAGATACTATGGAGTTTCATGTACCCATACCTGATTTTCCTTATTATTAATATTTTATATTTGTATGGTAATTTGTCACAACTGATGACTCCATATTTCTATATAACTATTAAAAGACATGTTTTATCCAAATTTCCTAATTTTTTTAATCTAACATACTTCTTGTGTTTCATCATTCCAAATTACAGCATTATATTTAGTTGTCAAGTCTCTTTTGTCTCCTTTTGACTGTGACAGTTTATCATTTTTCAGTAAAACAGAAATTATAATTTCAAAAATTAGCTAACTAAGGCAGTTGATTATATTGCTATTCTCACATGGGATTTGGTATTAGGAATAATGAGGGGTTCACATGAGATAAGTCTAGATGGAAAAAGGAGAAAAGACCAGAGAAGCATCTGAAACACCCACAAACATACCCATGAATGAATATTTGCCATGTGGATAATTATTTAAGCTAGATATTTGACAGCTCATTGTGGAATTATTTATTTTTATTCATTTTATCTTCATAATCAACAGCACATGTATGCATAATTTTTATATTTGTGTATGTTTCTGTGTATCTATGAAAAAATACCTCTGGTTTCTGTCTACTTGATGCAGCACACTTGAGCCCACTTAAACTTATAGCAGCTGGTGCACGGGGTGACTAAAATGTTAAATTTTCTTTGCTTAACTTCACACAGTCCTCGCAAACAAGCTTCATGTAGTTTTTCACTTTTGATATAGAAGTTGTATAATATCATCCTTTGTTTTTCAAAATTCTGTGCTACTTCTTATCACTCAAATAATCATTTTTCAAGTCCTAAAATGTAAAGACATAACCTTTATCCAGCAGTGGGTGGCCATGCTTCATTCTCCAAATGAGCAAAGTGTGATGTGCAGTGATAAAAAAGGAAGTGCTGTGGTTTGTATCTCCTCTTCACAGGAAGATGAGATCAGAAGAAAAGTTATTATACCTTTTCTCAGGAATCAGAATTACTTGAGCATCTCTCTTGTCAGTTCTAAATTAGGAGCACAGGACACATCTACATTTTCTAGTTCTGTAGAAGGCTTTTATCCACAAGAACCAAGATCTTCCTTCTTGATCAGGTGTGTGTGTGTGTGTGTGTGTGTGTGTGTGTGTGTGTATGTGTGCGCGCTTATGTATGTGCACATGCATGTTTGTTTCTAACAACTATCACTCAAGAAATGTGGAGGTATAAGATATTTCTAATAATTTAAGTGACTACAATTGCTGAAGACAAGGAATGCACATCGATTCTGAAGTATTCTTTTTTATAGTATCCAATTAGTAATTAGGATATACTTACTGAAGTATCAGAAATTATAACTTTCTATAAGAAGCCTTGTCTAAACAAAACTCCAAGAATGAATTATTATATTTAGGATTAGAAGGATTTTCAATGTGAATTCTCACATGGGTTTTCTAATCTTGTGGAAGAAACCTACCTTCTCTGATACACAATTTTAAAAGCAAGATGAAACATGTCATATCTATTAATTCCAACTATTATGATCAAACATACATAAATCTTAATTTAAAAACATCAGCATTATGCACATTTGTTAAATAGCTATTTTTTCTGGAAGCTTTGATAGACACTGTAAAATGTTGCTATATAATGTTACCATATGAAATTGTGCTTGTTACTGATGATGGTGATGATGATAACCTGTTATTGTTTATGATGGCAATGATAATAGAAACTGGATTAAAATGCAATAGGAAAACGTCCAACAAAAATTCATACATCTTGCATAAGTTTATCTTTCAAAGAAATCAATTATCATCTAGTAAAATAAACAATTATAAACAGAAAACTGTGCTGTTATTCAATATCAGTGATGTCAAATATTTTTATTAAATATTTTAATGTATATAAATTAAAATATTCATTATACGTTATGACACTTCGAACTAATTGGTCATTATTTTACAAACAAAAAAATTATATATTAATTTAACCTGGCTTTATGTGAATCATTATTTCCATTCTTTTTTCTGGGGAGGTAAGCTATGAAACAGGGGAATTTTTCTGTATTTTACTTGTCCAATCAAAATACTTCCTCTCTTATAAAGAAAACGGAAAAAACAAATGTTCCATTTTACTTCATTCAAGAATCCTGTGTGAGAGGAGTTTGGACTCCCTGAAGTAGACATACAATTATCATCATAGAATGGGACTGATTCGTGATCGGAGGTGTCATCACAGCTTGGGTATGTACTTACTGTCCACATGAATGTGTAGTTCTGCTTCTGTATATTTTTAAGCTGTCCAAAATTTTACTTTAAATCAAGCTGTCAGAAACTTTCACTTCCCCCACCACTGATTTCATTATCTTTCAATAGTAAAGTCATCCACAGCTGAAGACAACTTGAATCAGTAAATAGCATCACACTGGAGTTAGAAGAACTGAATTTTAATCAAACCATTCTTTTGTTTTGAGATAGGGACAATGAAGCTTGCATGGGATCCTTCCCCCACAAATAGAGAAATAATATGTGCTGTATTTATCTTAGTGTAGTTCTGTAATATTAAAATCAACATATAATTTGAAACTACATTTTATGCTGAAAGTGTCAATTTTTTCATAAATTATTTACAGTTGGTAACATTATATTACATAATCAATGTGATTTTTGTCATCTCTAATTATTTCATCCATAGAATAATACCTACCTTCTGCTCTTCAGGTTTAATCAGTGAATTATATATGAACAAACAATGTTTACATGTAATTTTAGTTATAAAGACAATTAGTAAACTGGGTGTGGTGGTGCTCGCCTGTAATCTCAGCAACTCAGGAGGCATAAGGATCCCAAGTTAGAGGCTAGCCTCAGCAATTTAGCGAGATCCTAAGTAACTCAGGGAGATCCTGTTTCAAAATAAAAATAAAAAGTGGAAATGTGGCTCAGTGGTTAAGTACTCCTGGGTTCAATCTCTGGTACCAAAAAGACAATTAGTATTATCATTTCATTTAGAAAGGCTTTTAAGTATTCAATAAATGATTAATATTTCAAAAAGTAAACTTTTGTTGTTGTTGTTGTTCAGAGGCAAGGTTCTCTGTCTTTATCCTAAAACTTTAGATCCTACTTGTTTCATCTTTGTTTGTCATTTAAAACGAAATTAGACAAACCAGTATTAACTAAATGTTTGCATGTGATTAAGATTATTGAAACTAAGTTCATCATATTTTATTTTATTTTTTAAAGATCTCTAATGAATTGTGTTGATATCTTTTCTTACTGCTGTCTTTTCTTGTTTTGCAAGTTAGGAAACTGAGATGCAAAAGCTAAATGCTATGTAAAATTATCAAGTTAAGTCTGAATCCATAGTGTACATATATGTCTATCTTTCTCTGGCTTTGTTTTTTTTTATAAAGTGTCTATTTCAATGTTAATTTCATTATATTATAAATTAATTCATTTTAAAGTATATTATTAAGAATACTTTGCTATGGAATAAAATAATGTTATCTATACAATAAACACAAGCATCGTAATAAAGTAATGTAGAGCAAAATAAATTCATGTTGTACTTTTTTTATGTAAATTTTTTCTATTTATATATGACAACAGAATGTATTACAATTCTTATTACATATATAGAGCACAATTTTTTATATCTTTGGTTGTATACGTAGTATATTCACATCAATTCGTGTCTTCATACCAGTACTTTGGATAGTAATGATCATCACATTCCACCATTATTAACGACTCCATGCCCATTCCCTTCCCCTCCAACTCCTCTGCCCTATCTAAAATTTGTCTATTCCTCCCATGATCCCTCTCCCTATCCCACTATGAATCAGCCTCCTTATATCAAAGAAAACATTTGGCATTTGTTTTTTTGGGATGGGCTAACTTCACTAATCATTATCTTCTCTAATTCCATCCATTTACCTGCAAATGCCATGATTTTATTCTCTTTTATTGCTGAGTAATATTCCATGTGTATATATGCCACCTTTTTTAAAATCCATTTATCTATTGAAGGGCATCTAGGTTGGTTCCACAGTTTAGCTATTGTGAATTGTGCTGTTGTACTTTTAAAAAGATATCTGTGGGAAGTATATTAATGGAAATGATGAGTTTAATTTTAAATATCTCAAGTAGTAGAAAGGCTGTGGCTCATATTGGCTTGAACTGTTTTTCTCCAGAGATGACTGAATGCCACAATTATAACTTTGGACTGGCAAAGTGTCACACTTCTAAAAGATGTCAAAAGCAAAGATCTACTCTAATAACAGGCAAATGTAGACAAAAATGTAAGTCTTGTATTCCATTTGTCCTCTCTCATTGTACAGAGGTTAATCATGGAAACAATATCAGTGACAAGTATTCAATTTATTTTACCTTCATTGTACTAGCAGACATGACATTTACTTTAATAGATTATTGAAATATATAATAAAATTAGAAGAAAATATTGTTTAGGACCTTTTTCATGCCCTAAAAATGATGAGCTTATTTATCACAATAATGACAATGAAACAGAAGATTCTGAGAAATCAGTAAGTAATTAGCTGTAAGGAGGAATAAACAAAAAGATTCAACAGAAAAGAAAAACATATTAAATTCATCTGAGTTATGTTATTAAACATTATAGAAGCAATAATTTGATTACTATATAGAATGTTTCTGAGTGCAGTAGAAAAGATGTGTCCTCAAATGTCTTTTTCCAATCCAGAATATTATTGATATTAGCACTTGAGGCAGCTTAAAGAAAAGGAAAATCAACAGACAACCCTCACCTAAAATCAACAGAGATTTTATTAACAATAATAAGAAATTACTAACAAATAATATCATTTCATGAGTTAGTCATAGGAGTGTAAATGAGCTGTATATAATAATCAAAGGAGAAAGAATATATGACCATGTGCATAATGTTGAAATGTCATTGAATAAAAAATCAGTGTGAATTCTTAACTAAAAGAACTTAATTTGAAAAATCTAAAAAATGTAAATACTGCTCTTGATATATACATATATAGACACAACATATTACATATCTAAATCACTACAATTAATGTTATTACATTTTCATTATAATTAGGAAAGGCAAATATTTTGCTATTATTAATGTTGCTTATTATTTATTGTTTTGCTGATGCTGAGTGACTAAGCAAGAAAAGAAAAATGTTTATAAAATTAGAATTAAAAGGTAAAAATAACATAATTAAAAATAAGTGATTTAAAATATTTTAAAATTAATGAGTGTACAGGCCTTAAATATAAAAAACCATTAAAAATAGATATTAAGATTTTATTGAAAGTTCATATTTAAAACTCAATTGTCTTCCTAAATAGAAATACAAGGAAACTGCTGTTCATATGTTATGACCCCAAATCAGGAAAAAGCATAGAAATAAACCTTTTACTAACAAGCCTAGAAATAAATTTGCTAATTAATATTTCTACTGATGAACATAAAATGTAAAGCATTCAAGGATAAAAGACAACATTTTTCAGATATACATTATCTCTATACATCTGTATATTTAATGTGATTCTGTTGGAGGACAAATGCACTGTATTTAGAGATGATATGTTCTTTAAAAACACATTCTAAAATTTATAAGGCAGAAAAAAATTATAATAATAGCTAAGTAGTCTGAAAAAGATAATGTACTATAATATTGTAGACACTATCTTGTCTTCAAGCATTTCATAATGAACATATGTGAATGAGCAGACTGATTAGAGTACTTAGGAATAAATGCAAGCACATGTAGGGATAGATCATATACTAATAGTGGCATTTCACATCAGTAAAGGAAGATTAATTGATTCAATAATTAGTGCTAGAAAAACTCAGTACACATCTGGCAAAGAAACTCATAAAATTTGAGTTTTTACCAAATATATTTTACACACACATATACATAACAGATGTTTAATAGTCCAAATAAAAACAGAAACCATACACCATTGTGATGTAACATGGATGTAATTAGTTTTACAAACTCAGAATAATAAAGACATTTTACTCATATCAAAAAAAACATAAGTCATACAGGGAAGTTTGATTAAGTCAACCAGAGAAAAATTAACCATTTCAGCCTTTCAAAGTTATTATAAAGAAAGTTAAAACAGAAATAATGTCTGAACCATATATTTGCAAAACATACTTCATATTCCCAACCTAAAAAGTAAAGAATAAACCAGTGACTTTGTAGAAACAAGAAAAATCTCAGAGAAATAAGAGATGTTCAACTTTATTCCACAAGAGGAAATATAAAATTAAAATGTAAGTATAAAAATATTTCCTACCAAGTTTATACATTAAAAAATGTGAATAACATTTACTACCAAGGACGATGTAAATTAAACAGGAATATTAAGTATAAATAGGCTTTTACATTTATTTTTTAATCATGTAAATTAGTATAAACATTTTAACTAAAATTTTCAATCATTACAGAAACTTAATATATACATGCCTTTGCTTCAGTGATTGCCATAGCAGGAATTTCTTCTAGAGAACTAAAAAATATGCACAGGTGTAAATGAAATATATCATTATTTCTAAAAGCAAAAACTAACAAACAATTTACCCATTGGAAAAAATTAAAAGTCTGTCAACAATTAGATTTTGTCCAGATAGCAATGAAATGTAATACAATAATTTTACAACTTAGGCATCTTTATAAGCCATGATATGGTGTAATCACCAGAATACTGTCATAAATGAAAAAAAAAAGTCAGACTAGTTTGTGCAATTTCTTAAATATATGTATTTTGTAACATGGTTTCAAAATACATATTTTTAATATGTGGTTGAAAGAACTGTCTATATTTATTATTGTATCCTCATAGAAAATGAAAACAGTAAACAGATTTACACTAGAAGATGGCTAGAGAACTTCTACAGAATTATGGGAAGGGATATTACATTTTTGTACTCTTGTTTCTTAATCATTTACAAAGTAATTGTCTTACCTCTTCTGAGAAAAACAAAGCCAAAAAAACCACTTACAGTATTCTCTCATCAAAAGCACAATACCACTAATACTAAAAACAAAGATACCTGCATCCTTTATCCTTCCTTTCTTTTCTGATATTTCTCTTTTCTTTGACAGTATCTCCATTTTTTCTTGGTCGTTTCATCGCCATTTCGATGGCGATACGTTTCGTTGTTATGATGGCGATATGGACTGTCATATTCGTAAACTGTAAGTCATTACAAAAATTTGTGATCTCATTTATCAAACAATTGTAATGCATTATTTTGATTAATATTCAGAGGCACAGATACATAAACTAGCAATACTGAGTAAGTGTTCTCATCATAGTTTTGCTGTTAGTCTAGAAATTTACCAGTTATTTTTTATTGGATTATAATTTACTAACAGTACAAGTTTTTAAAATAATTATGATTATTTTCATAGCATTTCACAACCAAGAAGTTTCAATTCCTTCAAACGGTAAGTGAATTTTTAAAAATATTTTGAAGAATAAATTGAATACATACTATACATACTAGAGTGTATTATATATCCAATGACACTAAAAGTGGGAAAGGAAATAGTTTATGCTTGTCCACATTTTACTATGGCTTTATTTTGTTGAAACAATGGAGTACTTGCAAAAAGTAGAAAATTCTGTTTGGGCATCTCCTTTTCTATTTCTGTGTAGAAATACTTTAGATATGACTATAATGGTTTAATTATGTTTTAACTTTGAAGTTGGAATGAGAAAGGCATTTGAGTTTTTTTTATAATCTGCTATAATGTCTAGATATGTGTAGAATTAATAGTATATTCTCTTTCTAGAAGGATACTGTGGCCCATGCCCTAAAAATTGGTTATGTTATAGAAACCACTGCTACCAATTTTTTAATGAGAGCAAAACTTGGTACCAGAGCCAAGCTTCTTGTATGTCTCAAAATTCCAGCCTCCTGAAGATATACAGTAGAGTGGAACAGGTTGAGTATTTGTTTTAATCACCCTTCGTATATTTAATCTTAATGAATGAAATAATTCATTGGAATGTGAGCACTGAAACAGATATTCTAATTCCTACTCTGACTCTTTCTGCCTTAAAATTAAGAAACCTCAGATTTTATGTATGTCTTGCTTAAGTTGAAATTATGCTAGTTAGGGACAAAATGCAGTGTCCCTCAAGTGTGAGAAGAAAAGATTAATTGATTATGGCCTTACACTTAGCAACATTCTGAGCATTGGTTTTATTTGCACCTTGTTGTTTCAAACAGGATTTCTTCAAATTGGTGAAGTCATATCATTGGATAGGACTCATACAAATTCCGACAAATGGATCCTGGCAGTGGGAAGATGGCTCCATTCTCTTGCCCAACCAGTAAGTCTTAGGTCCAATAGATTTTTGTTTGTTTGTTTTCTCTTTTTAATACATGCATCTCAATAATACCGAATGGTGAATTTTGTTGTGGCATGCTAGTGCAAACATACAAACATGATTTGATGAATTTTACTCCCCAATACTATCCACTCTCTCTTCTCCCCAACAGGATCCTAGTTGTGAATTTGTTCCTAATTTATCTCTATGATCACTCATCTATCACATTTTCTTTTTCACAAACTCAGGCATTCCCATATTCTCATTCATTTAGAAAAGAAATACTTGTGCCCTAAATTTGGAAGAGAGTATTATGAAGTGGCCAATATAAACAATTATGAGTAATATATATGCTTACTATGTGGTAAATACTGTGAAAGATAGATCTAATATTATGTTCATTTTACAGATAGGATACTGAAGCAGAGAGGTTAAGAGGTTAAGTACAACATATTCTTTTGTCATGTACTACTAAGGTGATGACAATATAATTGGTGTGCAATAAACTGCACATACAGAATGTACACTTCGATGCACTTATGAAACCATTAATAAAATCAAAATAATTAGCATATCCATCACCTGCAAAACTTTCTTTTGAATCTCTATAGTACTTTCTTTGTGCTGTTTTCTATATCTCTTTATGTTCCCAAGAAACAAATCTTTTTTCTCTCACCATAGATTAATTTGCAACAACTAGAATCTTATATAAATGCAGTCATATGATATGTACTAGTTTTATGTTGGATTTTTTTCACTTAGCATAATTATTTGAGATTTGGCATTTCATAACATTAATACTTTTTTTTATTCCCAAGAGGTATTTCTTTTTGAATGTAGTGCAACTTGTTTACCCTATTGTCTCTCGATATATATGTAAGTAGTTCTCAGTTTTTAATTACAAATAAAGTCACTTGTTGTGAAAATTTGTGTACAACTGTTTCCATGAAAATAAGCTCTCCATACTGGGGTTGTAGCTTAGTGGTTGAGCACTTGTCTACCATGTGTGAGGCACTGGGTTCAATCCTCAGCACCAGATATAAATAAATAAATAAATAAATAAATAAATAAATAAATAAATAAATAAATAAATAAAACTAGCTTTCCTTTCTCTTATACAAATATTTAAGAGTAAAACAGATGGATCATATAATAGTTTTATGCTTAAGTTTTTAAGAAAATACCAAACTATAATCAAAGTTGCTATGAAATTTTACTAATTTCACATTTCTTTTAGCAGCATGTGAGAGTTCCAGTTGCTCAACATTACAGCCAACATTTGTTATGATCAGTCTTTTACATTTTAGATATTCTAATAAATATGAATTGGCATCTCAATGTTGTTTTAATTTGCATTTTCCTAGTCACTAACTAACAATGCTAAGGATCAGTTTTTGTGTTTGTCATTCATTTCAAGTTTTTATTTCAATGATTTCTGGTCTGATATTTGTTATTTACTATATTCTTATTTTATGTTAAATTTACTTTCCCTTTTCTGGTTTTTTCAGGGTTAAAGCTAAGGCATTGATTTTTCTTTTCTAATAAAAATATTTTTTTGCCATTAATATGTGAGATCATTTGGTAACCTCCTTGAACATTTTGATACATTGGTTTTGGTTCTATTCAATTCAAAAATCATTTCTAAATCTCCTTTCATGCTTGTCTTTGATTCATAGATTATTATTTAATATTTGGAAAATTTCTAGAACTCTTTCTGTTACTAATTTCTAATTAAGTACCATCTTGATCAATTTAATATGGATTGAAACCTCTTGAATTTGTTGAGATCAGTTTTATGGACTAGATTATAATCTCTTTTGAAATGCTCCATGTGTATATTGTATATTGTATATCGAACAGGTATATTGTGCCATTCTTGAGTTCTATAAGTGACAATTAACTCAAGATAATTAAGAGTGTTGCTCAAGACTTCTATATCCTTTCTGATTTACTATCTACTTAGTTTTGACTGTTTATGATAGAGGTCACAATTATTAAAAGGGAAGTATTAAAACATTGTACTGTAAATTTAGTTACCTATATTTCCTTGCAATTCAAATGCTTCTTTGCCTGACATATTTTGAAGCTCTGTTGTTAGATGCATAAAAGTTTAGCTTTTGTGTACTCTTCCCTGAATTTATTATTTTATCATAATATAATGAACTCTTGAGCCAATAATATTTTGTGCTTTGAAATTCTACTTAGTACCATATAAATTTAGTCATTACAGATTTTTTATTAGAATTAGTATAGCATATATCTTTAATCTGTATGGGTCTTTACATTAAAAGTAAGTCTCCTTTGGACAGACTACAGTTGAATTTTACTTTTTCATCCAGTTTGACAAGTCATGCCTTTTTATTTGGGATGTTTTCTCCATTTACATTCAATAGTTAAGTAATCTTGCTATTTACTGTTTATTGGTTTTGTTAGTTGTTTATTCCTGTTTTCTTTTTCTGAGTTTTATTAAACATATTTTAATTTTATTTAGTTCTATTAAACATTTTTTTGCTTTGGCTTATTTGGTATATCTTTGTTGTTATTTTAGTTTGCTCTAGAGTTTGTTGCATATATATCTAATATATCAATAAATCTGATAACCTATCACTGCATGCATAGTATAAAATTCTTGCAATATTATCCTTCCATTTCTTTCTTCCAAACCATGAGCTATTTTAGTCATAAATTTCCCTGTATAAATGCCATAAGTCTCACACTGTTATTTTTATTAAAAACATCAAATATATTTTAAGTGCTTTAAGTAACAAGATAAAATTATACAAATTATGTTTATGCCTGTCACCATTTCTTTACTCATTTTTATAGAACATAACTTCCATCTACTGTAATATTCCTCCCATATTGAGGATTTTTGTAGCATTGCTTGAAGCTGTTTGTTTCCTAGTGATAAATTATTTCAGCTTCTATTCTGAATATGTCTTTATTTTATCTTAATTT